TGATCATACTCATTGGATCCTGCTATTTTGGAACCTTATTGCTATGGAAAACTCAGGACCAGACTAAAGGAATTGATAACTGATTCCTGCAACAAGAGAATCATCTCAGGAGTGAAACATCCATCCATAAGACACTTAAAATGTCCATATCTTTGCTTCTTTGCTGTAGAACACTTTTTTTTAAAACAAAGTTACTTCCTTTTGTTCTATGCTGGCCTTCAAATGGCATATTGTTTCCTTTTGTAATAGTCTCAGACAGAAGTTTACAGAGGAGGTTTATATTAGTAAAGGACACACTCAAAAAAGTCAGGGACAGAGTTTCCTTCCAGCCTAGGATTCTTTTCTTATACAGCAAAAAAGAAAGCAATAGTTAACTTCAACTTTGTCATTTCCCTATGTTCAATTCCTTTCCTGGGATCAGTTTCCACATCCATTAACAGTTACTTCCAGTAACAATTTATGGTGCTGCTCCAGAAAAAAATGAATGTTTTCAGGCTTCATTGAAATAGCACAAGGACACTTTTGGACATGAGGTAACACGTGTTTCAGAGACAACTTAGTAAAGAGAAATGAAATTTAAATTGCGTATAAATGCATTATCCATGAGAACATTTTGTTCTTATGTGCTTCTGTAAATTAAGGTGAATTTTAAATGGGAAGAAGGTTCTCAGATCTTTTATTGTGAGCCTATGTGCTGTGTATTAATTTCCCAAGTGTACATGAGTTAACAGTAAGAGAAACAATAGCAATTATAGGAGAAAAAGAAGTTCTTTGTTTATGTATAAGTGTTCAATACAATATAGAAGATGCTACAAATAAGAAAACATTGAAACAATAAAGCCAAGTCCAGTATGTAGATTTATGGGAATGAAATAGAGAAAGCATTACTCCTAAGTGGAACATGAAGCATGAGGCCACTCCCTTTCTAAATCACACTTGCTAATCATGTAAATGTGCAAAAAGGAGAATGGAAGAATGATTCTGTTTCCAATGCAAGTCAGATATGGGAGAATAGACTTAACTGGAAAAAAAGAGTCCATCTTGAGAGAACAGGAATTATAATAGGAATGAACCTGGTGGCTAAGATCACACCTCTTTTTCATTCCTTTTCTTATATTCTTTTGTTGTTGTTGTTCTTCTTCTTCTTGTTGTTGTTGTTATTGTTCATGGCGCCTGAAATATGGGACAGGGCGCTGTCCCTCTGAAACACAGCACAAGGCTAGTGCTCTTCCACTTGAGCCACAGTGCCACTTCCAGTTTTCTGGTAATTATTGGAGAAAAGAGTCTCCAGGACTTTCCTACCCATGCTGGCTTTAAACCCCAATCCTCAGATCTCACAACAACTTGGTTTATGATCACATTTCTAACAGTGAACACTCAGGATATGTAATGTATATGTTCATCTACCTTTATATGAATTCTTGAGTCAAAAATCTGGGCTACAGGTTAGACTTCACACTCACAAAAGTGTTTGAAGTTTGAAAGTTGATACTCCTGGAAAAATAAAACCTAAGAATGTAAAGGAGTCTGGGAAGTTCAATTTACATCCAGCTTGGACAGTATAGGTTTTGAGACACTACATATAATTAACCAACCAAAAGCCAGAATACCAGTCACGAGCAAGATTGCTGAATAAAAGCTTTAGGTTTTTGCATACATACATACAAACATACATATACACACAGAGGCACTTATAGGTGTACACAAAAATACAAAATTGAAACAACTCTCAGAATATGTAGAAAAGTTAGAAAACAATAGAAAATAGGTCCTGAGTACGACTAGAATCAAGTGATAATTTTTAATATTAGAAATCCCTCAAGTGAACTTTCCCCCAAAGTTGAGAATATTACATAGGTAGGGACCAGAGATGTAAGAGAGTCAAGTAATCATTATTAATGGGATAGGATCCTTGGTGGAATGAATCAGGGAACCTTGCAGGTGCATCTGAAAATGCTCATATCCTGTGTGAAATGTAAAAACATCTTTGAAAATAGTACATAAACAGTCTGAGCAATCAGTCTAGTGGATAAGATCATAGGAGAAGTTCAAAATTGCTAGTCTGTTCTAGATTAAATAAACAAACTAAGGCAGAACAATGTGATACAAGCCTGGAATTCTAGCACTCAGACAGGAGATTAGATAGTGGAATTACATAACGATACCTTCCCTGGATCAGGTAGAATAATTTTCTCTCAGTAAAACAAACCAAACAACAAGAAAGAATACACAGTTCAGAGTTTGGGCTAATTTTGTCATTATGTTTTGAGAAGTCAAGTTTCAGATTGAATGCAACTCATATATATCCTCACTTGTGTTTTAAATGCTCTCATCATTACAGAACATTCCTAGATGCAAAATAGCTCATGATTCCCATCCAAAAATTTGCAAAAGTAAATAAGCATCATTCTGTTGGATTCCAAATAAATGTTGAAGGATTACAAAAGCTTAAGTCTGGAGAAATAGCAAAGTTCGTCTAATGTAGGACTTTGTAGACCTTGTTAAATTAGAATTTAGGTTTAAAATATATTTTTTGGTTTTATTTGTAATTTCATATTCCATAGGATACTACAAAATTCTTTTTAAGGAGAGGGATTAATTGAAAAATTCACAAATGATTCTGGCATTCTATTTGCCTAGATATTCTTTCAAGAGTGTTATAATTAGAACATAGTTACTAGATAATTCCCACAGGTCTTGTACACCATGTTAATGTGAATAATCTAGACAGAGTTGCCAACAAATGGATGACATTAATTTATATATTTAGAAAAAACAATTTTTAAGGGTTTGGTTTAATATGGTATGAATTGAGTAATTGTGTGACATCTTCTTTCTTCTACCTATATGTAACACAAGAAGCCATTTCCTTATTTACGTGCCTCTGTATACATGGAGAAAAATGCTAGGTTTGGGGTTTGTTTTCAATTTAGTTTTTGTTTTATTGGTTCGTCCTAGAGCTTGAACTCTTGGCCTGCACAGAGTCTCTGAGCCTGTTTATGTTCAAGGCTTGTTCCCTACCACTTCAACCTCAGTGCCATTTGAGTCTGGCTTTTGTGGAGAAGTTTTTTGGAGATAAGATTCTAAGAAACCTTCCTGTCTGGCTGGGCTTTGAACCATAATTTTCCTATCTTAGCATCCTGAATATCTATGATAGCTAAAAAAGTATAAATATAAATAATATTTGCACATGTTGTGATCCCAAGAATACCAGTGGTGGAAAAATAATGCAGCTCAGTTTATTGTGGTGTTCTTTTCAGAACAAGGAGGGCGTCACATTAGCAGAGGTGTAGTATTTTGTCAAAATAGAGATAAAGTATTCATGATGTGAATTAAGTAATTTTAAAGTGCCCCTTACAAGTTGGAAACTGTTAGGCTATGATGACTTTATGGCATAAATCTTGGGATTAATGGTCATAGAAATAATAGCTTTCTCGGATAAACAATTGCTAAGTTCCCTTGCATTTCACAATTGCTTACTGCTAATTCCTGCATCTCAAGGAATTGGGGCCCTGAAATATAGGAAATGACAAATTGAGATGGGTCTTCAATTACTTTGTGTTGACATGTTGCATGGGCCTTGGTAAGAAGTCTTGCCCTTGTTATCTGATGATGCAGGTGACTGGGACCTAGGATCCTATGACCCATGGGTCCTGCAGAAGAATAATATGCTTTAGGCATCTTAGCAAAATTTGGGCATAATCAGTAGGAATGCTTCAGAAATATGGAGAAAAAGTTTGGGACTAGCGAGTTAAAACAATAAACAGAGCAGCAGAGTAAAATTCATTATAGATTAGAGGAAAACATTTTTTTACCATGTGAATTCAGAAGACCAAGAACAGTTAGAATGTATCACAAGTTTATACTAAAGACATTGCATTGATACTTTTTTTATATTCTAATATATATTTTAAACCTAATTATTTATATTCCAATCCTATTTATTGGAATAAATATCAATTTATTTGTCAAATTATCAACTAATTCTAGTAAGTTTCATTGTGTGAAATATAAAATCAGCACATATAAATATAAAATATTTAACTATATTTAATATAATTAAAAGACACACGTTTTGCATTGTTCTGTTGTAGTTACTGTATCAAAGGCAACTCTGTTTACAAGTATTATTCCATTATCTCTGACTCAGTGTTTGATAGAGTTAGACCTAAAGCTTTACCATTTGTAGATTTACAGCATGTAGGCAAGAGGAAACACTGTGATTAAAACATTATCAATTTAATGCCTAATAATGAGGAGAAACATATGGACTTCTCCTGCAACTATGAAAATATTTGGTGATAAAAAGGCAGTAGTGTAAGTTCCTGCCTGGTTGGATGGTAGACAATCCAGGACATTAAGTAATCATGCATATGAACAATTTTTTCACCTTCTTGGCTTTAGTTACTGTTGAAATGGAAGGTATAATAAAAATTATATTTTGATAAAATACCTTCTAGTCTGAACAGTTCTGTTTGAACTGTTCATCTCTCTAGCATCCCTAGTAACCAAGATTAGTTTTGTTCAAGTAAGACAATTTACGTTTTCAGGGTAAGATATTCTGGTTGGTCTGTTCCCACATGGAAGAAGGGTAAAGGCTCAGGTAGACATTTGTGCCAGTAACACCTCATTTGGGAAAATGTCAGCTGAAAAAGTTTAGAAGTAGCTCTTAAGCAATGCTTACTTTGAATTCATTAGGTCCACAAAGCTAATTCAGTTAGATAAATAAGTACTTGAAAAAGCCATCAACTTTAGACCTATCTATAAATAATTGAGAGTACAATCAAATTCCAAATAAAAAGACTTGATAGTCATTGGCAAAAAAAATTTGCAAATGTGAGCAATCAACTGATCAATATAATTTTTCCAATATTCACAGAATTTTAGGGAAATAAGATCAATAGCATTGTTAGGAACAAGAAGGTTTCCTTGTTACAAGTAGGCACCCATAGATATAAGCCTGTATAAAGATTGCATCATTAACAACTTAAATTTAGAGGATACTACATCCATCAGCAGCACGTATACTCAAATTACAATACAGAGATTAACATGGCACTTGCAAAAGGATAATATGAAAATTTGAGAAGTATTCCATATTTTTCATTCTTCAGATGCATGAAATGAAAAACAGTTATTAAAAGGTTGATTACAAAATTACAAGTGTAACAATACACGTAATTCATATAATTAAATTTAGTTTGACATCAGTGTATTAAATCTTCAGCTCAGAAAGGCGTTTACATAGCATAAAATTTACAAAACTTCAAATTAGACAACATTGTCACTTTATTCCAAAGAAAAAAAAGACCTAGAAAAAATAAGGAATCAAACTGTTTCTATATGGAATGCAATCGGAAAGGACACATTAATTAACCTATATATTATAAAGTAATGTAGAATTCAAAGTATATCTAGGAGAAAATAAAATAAATTATGAACATTATGCAAACATAGAATATAGAATATTTTAAAATATACTTTTTCAGACAAGCACCAGAAATATTTTACTTTCTGTACTACTCATTTCAACAGGTAACTTAAAATTATTTCTGATTAAAAAATCACAAACTCTAAAGAAATCATTATACAAGTATACAAAAACTATTGAATACATTTTGACATCCAATGCAGGCAATTCATTTGGAAAAATTCCGCGGAATCCATGAATTTTTACAGTAAAATATTGGTGTTGCCGGGCACTGGTGGCTCATGCCTATAATTGTAGCTACACAGGAGGCTGAGATCTGAGAATCATTGTTCAAAGCCAGCCTGGAAAGGGAAGTCTGTGGTACTCTTATCTCCAACAAACCACTAGAAAACTGGAAGTGGAGCTGTGGCTCAAGTGGTAGAGTGCTCACCTTGAGCTGAAGAGCAGAGAGATAGCTCCCAGGCCCAGAGTTCAAGCCCCATGACAGACCAAAAAAAAAAAAAAGATATTGCTCTTATTTGTTTTGTGAAAATATTTTGTAGGGACACAAAAGATGGACTTGCATTTTTGAAATTTAAGAAACTTAACCTGACTATTAGGTCTTAGTTGAACAATTTGTACAGCCATCCACAACTTCATAGAGGGAATGACACATACTTATCCTTTTGGCAATATCAAATGCAGTTTCTTCTATGTTTTTCTTCAGGCCTGGTTTTATATAATGGTTCAACAGAAGGAGATCCAGCATATCTTTGCTATCTCAATTCTCAGCAGCAAGATACAAGGGGGTCAAAAGGCCTTTAGTTTGGGCATTGGTATCTGTATCACGATGATGTAAGAAAGAAGCCACTCTGGTATTATTCCACATATATGCACTGTGCAGGGGTGTCCAGTCATCTACAATTATTGTATGTGCCGCTTGAGACACCAACTCACTGACAATGTCTAAGTGTCTACTGTAGGCTTCTCAATGAAGAGGGGTATACTCATCGTCATCCCTACTATTCACATGAGTGGCCATTTGGAAAGAAGTCTCCGCACTGTAGTAAGCCGAATATTTTTGGCAGCCCAATGAAGAAATTTGCTTGGATCTTTCTCCATTTTTTTTCTTTAATTGATACCATTCCTTACTTTTTCATCTTGTTCCTCATATTCCTAAGAATTGCCTAACCAGAGACTTTGAGAGCCAGTGGGAATGAGGTATCCATGTATTTCCCTATTAGTTCACATTGGTTGAACTGGTCAGAAATATCCGGTGAATTTTCTGCATCTGTTTATTCACCATGATTTATTTTCTCTTTTTCCAATTTTACTATTTGAAATTATTCTAACCGGAGAGTAAGGAATTGTTAGAGAACAGAGGAAAGATGTTCCTCCGTTTTCAAATGTACACACTGAAAATGAGGACCAGTGATGTCTTCATGTGCAGCTTATTCTAGGAATGAGAAAATAGGAAATAATGCCTTCTATATAAATGATTTGTTAAATGGCAGAGCAAAAAGTGAAATGATGCAACCAAAAAGATAAAAGCAAAGTAAATTAGGATAATTATGGAGCAATCATATTATTTATGAGAACCAAGAAAGGGAAAAAGAGAGAGACAGATGTGCAATGACCTATCTAGCCACAAAATCCATGCCTCTTATCAATTTATAGAGCAAAGAAAATTTTATTTTTTAAAAAAGATGGAAATAGAATTTATGTATTTACTTGAAATTAGTAAATACATTTTTAGTAGCCTACATAAAGAGACATAACTTTGACCAAATTACAGACAATAAACTAAATCCTTGATAATTCTAGTAACAGATCTGACTGAAATCAGTTGAATCACACTTTTCCTGATTTAATCATTATATTCTACAAGAAGATAAATGAGAATTGATAGTTAAGGACTACTAATACATTTTGACCTTCTCACTAAGCACGTTCAATCATCAAAATCACATGAAGACAATAGATAGGCCTCCTTTTTAGATGAAAGCAAGTGTCTTTATAAAAAAACAAGGAATGTATGTAGTCATGCAAAGGACTTCTATTTTACCAATGCCTCATACATTTTTCTAATGTTGGGTACCAATAAATAATGGATCTATCAGAAAGCTCTTAAAGCTCATATGTTCAATAGTGAGTTCTCTTACACTATATCATGGTATTGTTTGGGTATAGTCTGAAGAATAAATTTACATTACTAACTTGAATTTCTGACATGACAATATCATCACTGTACATCTTGCTTCTATACTCTCATTTTTAAATTACTATCTAAGTATGTGCATTAGATAACTATTGAGGAAAAAATAGGAACCACACTGATGGCTTATGTCTTTAATAGTAGTTAATCAGAAAGATGAAATCTGAGGATTGTGGTTTGAAAGCAGAGCAAGAAAAAAAAGTCCATTAGAATCTGATTTGAAAGTAACCAGCAAAAGCTAAAAATGGAGCTGTGGTTCAAGCAGTAAAATGCTAGCCTTGAGAAAACTGAAACAAAAAATAAATTCTGGGACAAAGCCAGGTCCTGAGTTCAAGCCCTAGTATTAACACCAAACAAATAAATTAATTAATAAGGTAATTAATTAATTAAAAATAAATTAAGTGGTCACTTGTGGAGAAGCAGGTAAAATGTAACATGCGTGGTGATGGTTTATGTATTATTTTGTAATAAGGCATATTATCATTTGTCCTAATCACTAAAATTTTATTTGAAATTTTTTGTACAATAAATCCTGAATTTAGCATGCATGTATATGTGTGTGTACATGTGCGAACATGTGTGTATGTGTATATGTGTGCATGTGGTGTTGCAATGTTGCTTGCCAATGTGGACAGGGTGAAGCTGAAAAGAGCTAACTGTGTTGCAATGTTTTTATATATCAGTGTTCTGTCATGTCTTTTCAGTGGAACCACCCTTCTGTATATATTATTTGTCTAATAATAACATCATCATAATCAAAGCATTTATAACATTAAGTTAGATAAAGAGAACGCTTTCAGCTCTTATTGTATGTTGGGCAAGAAGATACAGACATAATTAGGTAGTAAGTTATTTTGCTGTAAGTTGATTATCAGTACAAAATACGTATGTGACTTCTTAAATTGGTTACACTTTTAAGATACACTCATGGAGTGTTTTGGACCGACTTGACCAAACAGGTATTACTCTCTGGTTATTCCTGTGAAACACAAGTTGGATAAACTCTTTCTGGATTTCTGTTGAAAATAACTTTCTTTGCAAGATCATATCTATTCTCACTAAGAGATAATCAAACCCATACTACGTTTGAATATCTCATCTTATTGTCTGAAAATAAGTATTGTGGATATGCTTGTTTATATTCCTTTCAAAAACGAATAAACAAAAAGCATGTGTCATGTCCAGATTGTGGATGCATTTGAAGGTATTTTGTACATGCACAGGGATCTTTACTACCACTGAGCCACCCTCCCAGCCCCATCGTTTTTAATTATATTTTTATAAAACAGTTGTACAAAGGGTTTTCCATTCAATGAATCGGTTTATAATTACAATGGATCTTTACATAACTTTCTCACATCCTTCCAAACCTCATCCCAATTTCATTTTTTCTAGTTTCATACTATCTGCATTGAATATTATGGCTTCACTCTCTACTTCCAGAAGTCTATTTAATCCTTCCCTTTGACTTCCACTCACCTTTTCCAAGTGATAGTCTCCTGGTATTCATTCTGTTGGATTAAATGTTCAATTTTGTAAGAAATTACACCTTTTAAATACTCCTCTGCAGTGCTGGGACGGTGGTTCAGTGGTAGAGCGCTTGCCTTGCATTCCTGAGGCCCTGGGTTCGATTCCTCAGCACCACATAAGCAAAAAGAAAAAAGCCAGAAGTGGCGCTGTGGCTCAAGTGGTAGAGCACTAGCCTTGAGCTGAAGAGCTGAGGGACAGCACCCAGGCCCAGAGTTCAGGCCCCATAACCGAACCCAAAAATAAATAAATAAATAAATACTCCTCTGCAAACAGCATGCTTTGATTAATACTGTTGTTTAACTTGCATAAAATTCTGGCTTCCAAATACACATCCTTGGTGTGTCTGGCTCTGACTTCGTTTACTTAACATAATTTTAGATCTATCCATTTCTTTGCAAATGCTGTAACAGTCTTTATAATGGATGAGTGCAACCTAATTGTATATTTGTGCAACACTTTGTCCAACCATCCCTCCGCTAAAGGTCGTCTGGGCTGTTTCCATAAGTTCTCTACGGTGAATAGTGCAGTAGTGAACATGATTGTGAGAGCGATTTTACTGTAACCTTTTGGAAGATTTCATAACTATTTTTATGGGAGCAATCCTCTAGCCAATTTTCCAGAATAAGCATATCCCTTTCTTCATCTCCATCACAAAGTTTATCAAGTCCTCAAAAACACACTACCCCTTACAGGTCTCAATCAGCTAAAACCACACTGTGCCCATATTCGTTGTTGTTGTTGTTGTTGTTGTTTTCTGTCCGGTCGAGGGGCCTGAACTCTGGGCCCCTCTGGTGCTGTCCCTCAGCTTTTCTGCTCAAGGCTAGTGATCTACCACTGGAGCCACAGCACCACTTCCAGCTTTCTTCTTTTTGCTTATGTGGTGCTGAGGAATCAAACCCAGGGCCTCATGCATGCAAGGCAAAAGCTCTACCACTGAGCAACTTTACTA